GGGGGGGGGGGGGGGGGGGGGGGGTCCCATTCCTAACACCGTTCTCAGACCCCTTAGCCTAAGTAATTTAACTAAGTAAATTTAACTAAGTAATTTAAGTAAAGTAACCGGAGGAAGGTCCTGGAAATTCTCACCTTCACACAACAAATAAGTGACTCAGATGCAAATAGCCCCAAAATACTTTTATGGAGTTGCTGGGAAGAATAATTGGGCCTTAGGGTGAAAGCACTTAGCCAACCCTTGGCAGGTGCACATATGCCATTACGGATTTTGATGGAGATTATTATATTATCATTACTGTTATTATTGTGAGTTATTTTTTGTGACTGTGTACATAGTGTTTAACCACAATACTCTTGTTACCTCTCTTTTAAACAAGCCAGCAAAGTCATGGGCCCCGCGCAGCATACAGGAAAACAAAACAAAAAACAAACCTTTTCTTTTCCCCTCTTCTTTCATTTAAGATAAATGTACCAAGTTCTAAATGAAATCTCCTTGCCAGTTGCGCTGGAGAGGAATTAGCATTCCCAGTTTGCTGTGTGTATGTGTTTTAATTCCAGTTTCTATTATCGTCCTTGGAAATTCTGCTTACGAAGTAGATGGTTAAAGACCAACAGTAGGTCCACTGAGCATGTTAGAAACAAGAGTCCTCAATTATTGCAAGTCATTGGTATCCTGAAATTTAAAGAAACAATCAGAGGATTTTTTGATGTGTGGGTCCCAACAGACTCTGAAATAAAGTTAGCCCATGAGGACAAGTGTTTTTAAAAAGTGAAATAGAATAGGGCCACCTGGGTGGCTCAGTCAGTTGAGCGTCCGACTTCAGCTCAGGTCATGATCCTGCGGTTCGATTTGTGGGTTTGAGCCCCGCATCGGGCTCTGTGCTGTCAGCCCAAGAGCCTGGAGCCTACTCCTGATTCTGTGTCTCCCTCTCTGTCTGCTCCTCCTCTCTCTCTCTCTCTCTCAAAAATAAATAAACATTAAAAAAAAATTAGGTGAGATAGAATATACTGAAAAATCAGCATTGATCAAATGTCAAAATGGTAAGTCACTGTTTGTGAAACTTCAATTTCTACATACATATTCACACATATCTAGATATGTATGTATGTATATTTATAACTATGAGTATGTGAGCTGGGTCACATCATAAAATGTATTTCTAGTTGAAAGCCCATGAAGTATATGATACCATGATACCAGAAACATCAACTTTTATCTTTACATGTATCCATTATGTACATATGACTACCATATTTCTGCTAACACATAAACCTATGAATTCAGGAAGATAAGGAAAATATCATTTGGGCCAAAGTAAAAGACATTGGAATATGGCATTTGGTGAGCTCTCCATAAATAGCTATCTTTTCTCTTTATTTGTTCCTTTTTCCTTTAAGACAGAATATTACGATGCATACCAGGAAAAGGGGGATGTAGGAATTCCAGGCCCACCAGGCCCCAAAGGAGCTCGTGGCCCACAGGGTGAGGATAAATTTCTTCCTAAAGCGTTCGCTGCCTATTTCCCTGTGTTTCTCTCCAGGCAACATGTAACATATGCTTATAGACCTAGAATTTGCAGGGAGCAGGGGAAGGAGGGGGGAGGGGGAAGAGAGGTCTCCCAATTTTCGTGGCCTCCTAATTTTCATACTTTTATATGAATATTCCATAGGTGCTATACCACAGAAGGTAGTTAAATTCTTTGTGTGTGCAAGCATGAAGTTCAAGTCGGACAAGAAAACACTAATAATGGCCAGAGAGCAGGAGGAGGGAACGTAAAGAATCAGCAATCTTAGTGGGATACAAAAGAAAAAATGGAGACCCTGAAAAACCGTAATTTGACCAAATCCATATAATAGTGACAAGAAGGGACTGAAACCTGGGGTTTCCCAACTCCTGGCACCATGAAGCAGAGTCACATTTATTAGATTCTGTCCCTTTGGGTAGATACATTGGAAAGGTCTAGGCCAAGAGCTCTCCTCTCTGGTTACACATCAGAATCCCTGGGAACTTTTAAAAACATGCCAAGTCCCATCCCTGTGATTCTGATGCAACTGTGTGGAGGTGAGGGCGGGGAGAGGGGGAAGGCTGAGCACTGGTAGATTGCAAAAGCTCTCCAGATTATTCTAGTGTGTAGCTGGGATCGAGAACCACTGATCTGAGGCAAATTATTGATACATACACATAAGATTTCAAAGGAGAATTTCACTCAAAAGAGTAAAAATACCTAGCATTCTTAAATAAACGGACAGAGAAGTATAGCTACAGACACAGATTTTTTTTAATCTGATATATGGTCACTACAAATCCCTTCCACGTGTCCAAGAATGAGAACCCCGTGCGATGTCATTGGAGATGGAACATCATCTTCTAGCACCTGAACCGTTCCAACCAAGTGTCACATACACAGCAGGCTCCTCGTAGACCTCTGCGGAATTGTTTGAAGGTGCAGAGGTGGCATGATTCACTTTTGAATGTTAGGCATCTAAGACTAGTTCCTTCTCTGCGGTTTGTCTCAATCAGTGAAGTTTTCCTTTATCTCTCTCTGTGGGAGTAGAGAAAAAGTATGAAAATATTTATTATTGATTATTACGATATTGTCACCCAAGATTTCAAAAATGGGGGGAGGGGAGTGTTTATATCCTTGCCAGCGATTAATTACTGTTACGGATTTATAGGTCCCAGTGGTCCTCCTGGAGTTCCTGGAAGTGCTGGTAGGTACCTGCGTCTCAGGGCATCAACAGAAATGCTCTTAAAAGGAAAATCACCTTTGCACTGCTTGCATAGGACAGATGTTTCACTAACGGGGCCAAAAGTGTTTCCAGCTTCCTAATTGTTAACTTTGTGATTTACAGCCAAAATGGGGGTGGGGGGAGTGAAAATGGACACAAAGTAACTTAGAAATGCTTTTTTTTTTTTTTTTTTTTTTTTTTTTTTTTTTTACTTCTCAGCGGTTGTAACTAAGTGTAAGACAATAACTGAAGCCTCCAAGCTCAGAGGAGGCACAGAGATAGAAAACAGTAATTTGCAGTCATTAGGCTGGCTAAAAAAAGAGAGTTTTCATAGTGTATCCCATGTTGCATAAGATGCATACATTATACTATGTATATATATGTATATACAGAGATATACATATATACATAGAATATATATATATTCATGTGAAGTTTTAAATTTCACAGTACATTATTTACGGACATGCAGACAATTCCATAAAGTATAAAAATATCCATGAGTCACTGGAGTGGTTGCCTCTTGAGAGAGGAAGACGAGGATCAAGGACGTTTAATCAAGGATTAACCTCAGTGGCTTTAATTGTAACTGTAATGCCATCACGTGTCACTTTGTAGAGGAAACGAAACCATGAAAAAAGCAGCAAAGATTTGATAAGCCCTGCTGTCGATTATAATTTTCTCTACACCATGTTGTGTATTAAACTATTACGTAATTATTGAAAAAAAGAAAAAAAGAAAAAAAAAGAAAAAAATAAACTATTATGTAATTTTGAAAATGAATTAAAATTAAGCAGATTGCAGAACTATATGTATCTTATAATCCCATTGTTAAAAAACATAGATAAACGGATAAATAGTATGTGTATTTGCATGTGCATGGAAAAATACACCAAGTTGGAATACAAAAGGATGTATCAGAGGTCTGGCCAAAGATTAGGGAGGACTTTCTTCTCTACTCCCGACCCCCCAAGTAATGAATCAGCCCCTTTAGGAAGCAGCGAGTAAAAGTTACAAAGCTCTAAAACGGGCATCAAACAGATGGGTTTGCTTTTATGGCAAAATCTTTATGGTCAATAATCAGAAATAATCAGTCATTACCCCTGCTGGTTTCATAGCCCTTTGGTGGTGAGGTCTCTCTTCTTCACAGTTAAACTGCTTGCAGGGCAGAGATTCGACACTTACCCCCTCTTCATGTCCGTGTCACCTTATGAGGGACAGATGAGCTTTGTGTCACCTGGCTTGGCTTCTCTCCCAGGAGATGCCTGCCTCCCCCCATCACGCCCTTTTACAACTAAGACAATTGGCTGTGGGAATAAGGTCCAGTGACAGCAGTCTCTCTTTCTCATTTGGGACACTGAAAGATTGGTATCTTCTAGTCTTTAATGAAAAAACATCCACAAAACCGCATATACTGAAGAATTTATCATGAGGTTCTTTTAAAGAAAAAGACGACAGTGCACCCCTAACTCGGTCCCAGTCCCTTGTAATACATTATATAAATTACCTCATGGAACTGGAGCCTTCTGAGCTTTGCTGACCTGTGATCGTTTAGCAAAGCCACAGATGAAGGAAGGAAGATATTCTCTCTTCGTTTTATATGTTTTATATACCTCTTGATGGGGCAACTTTTATTAATAAGAACATATTACATTTTGCAATTGAAAGATAACATGTGTGAATCGGGGAAAAATTTTAAATATGCTAAAATGATTCTTTTCTCCAAGGGTCGTCGAGGCCTGGCCTCAGAGGAGCCCCTGGATTCCCAGGCGTGAAAGGAAGGAAAGGGGAACGAGGACCCCCGGGAAAGAATGCAGTGGGGCCTCCTGGGTCCCCGGGTTGTCCTGGGGCACCAGGCCCCGTAGGGTCGCCGGGATACCCAGGACCACCAGGTAGGTACCTAACGGGGCCCCTTTTGTGGCCATGGCCCAAGTGACAGATGTGTGCAGATCAGTGGCGATGGAGAAGCTTACTTGCAGCTTGGCCATCCGTCCGTGTGGGTCTTAACAGCCATCTTCCTGCTGGTGTTTCGTCGCATTGACTGTGAAAACAGCTCTGGTGGAATGGTGGCTTTGCAGGTGCAGCAAAGCTTTAGGCTGAGTTCCCACGGAGGGCACAGTGGGGGGCAGGAGCAAGGGGGAGCGAAGCAGAGAAGGGGGTGACCAAGTTTGCCACTGCTTGTTCAGTCCCTGGAGAATATCCTCCAAGAAGCTGTATTAACTTTGTTTCAGGACAGTCTGTCCCAGAGGAAACAGAGGCAAGAATTTATCCACCTGTTGCTATTAATCATGGGTCAAGAATATATCCCACGGGACCAGACTAACCACCCCCCCTCCCGCGCGTGCACACGCACACCCACACACACACACACACACACACACACACACACACACACACTTCCAGGCTGTGTTGGCATGGCTCCCAGGGCATCCTATGCCCTGGCATCAGCGTGTGGGCTGGAGGTGTGCAGCAAGGGCACGAGGCAAGATCCTGCCAGGTCAAGTTGGGGCAGAGACCACAGAGCTGCCGCCTGGAGGATGCGAAGTTCTGGAAGTTCTGATGCCCAGGGGTGTCCTCTCCTCTGCATCAACCTGTAAAGGCACCTAGCACTCTGTGTTGGCCGGTAGGCACACACAACCTCGGAACATGTGGGTCACTCTTTGTGTCCCAAACACCTCTCTGGAAGCTGCCTTGTAGGTCTTGTGTTTTGTACTCAACCCTCCTAATAGCCTTAAGAATTTTCTACCTGTCAAGGATTTTTGTTTGTTTGTTTGTTTGTTTGTTTGTTTGTTTACCCATTTTGAGGAGAGAGGGGGAGAGGCTGCATGAGTGACGGAGGGGCAGAGAGAGAGGGAGAGAGACAGCCCCAAGCAGGTTCTGCACAGTCAGCAATGGAGCCCCACTCAGGGCTCGATCTCATGAACCAACTGTGAGACCATGACCTGAGCCAAAACCGAGTTGGATTGCTTAACCGACTGAGCCACCCAGGGGCTCCAGGAATTTTGTTTTTAAGAAAGGAAGGATGTATTATTTATAGATAGTACGATTATAAACTTGGAAAATCCAAAAGAATAATCTGGAAAACTCTTAGTGTTAATAAGACAATTCAGGTAAATGTCTGGCTATCTGAGCAATATTTGAGAAAGAACAGAAGCTTCCCTTTGGGCCAATAGCTATTTAAGAAACTATCCCATTAATAAAAAGATACAATATCCAAGAACAAAAGCTGTTAAGCTATGGCGTGAACCAACGTGGAAAACAAAGCAAAACTAAACTGAAACGTTTCACCGTGTTGAGGATTTGAACAATTTCTAGTCCTCTGAGTCTTTTTCAGGATGTGGGTTTAGGATGCTCATGTTGCGGAAGATGAACCTGATGAACCTGTTCTTGGATATTGTATCTTTTTATTAATGGGATAATTTCTTAAATAGCTGTTGGCCTAACGGGAAGCTTCTATTCTTTCTCAAATATTGCTCAAATAGCCAGACATTTACCTGAATTATTAACACTAACATCTTGTGGCTAATGAGTGCCACAGTCGGGGTGCTGCGGTAATACAGCCCCTTCCCTGGCACACCATGCATCCTCTCCCCTCCAAGACAACGCTGGCTTCCTATCTTTTGCCAAACAACACCCGTCTGCCCTTCGAGTCGCACCTTCAAGTTCAAGCCCAACAGGGAGTTTTCACTGAGCCCACATCCTGTAACACCCGAGCTTATCCAGTAGGAGAGTTTTTCACCTTACCTGTCATTGTCAGTTTCCCCTGCAAGACTCAAAGCTCTTGGAGGTCAGAGATAGTGTCTAGTTTGCTGTTTTAAGCCGAGAACGTAGCACAGGGGGGCTGGAACGTTGTAAGTACTCAAGTATTTGTTGAAATGAGTATGACAGGAGTATGAAAATGTTTAAGTAAATACAAATGTATCAATGTGTAAATACACATATGACTACATTAAGTATAAAACTGCCGTTAGATTTTATTGTTTAAAGATAACTATCCAGTCATTCTAAAGACATAGAAAACTGGATCACAAAACGAACCTTCCTTTCCAAGTCAAACAGACATTACATGGACCACGTTCCATCTCAGTTAAATGTTTCCACTGGTACCTTGTTGCTCTGAAATTTGGGGCAGCTATAGGTACCATTTTCAAATATTTAGTTTCATCAGTATTGCCTTGTGCCTACATTTGAAATGGCAAGACCAAAAATTTGGTCATAGAACAGAAAAGCCGAAGAGAATGAGCTGTTTGTTGTCACATTATAGTAGCATCTGCTTGTGGAAGGACTGGAAAGAGCTTTCTTGAAGACCCACATTAGGAATGAAAGGCTCAGGGGCACCTGGGTGGCTCAGTCAGTTAAGTGTCTGACCCTTGA